TATTACTGTTATTATTATTACTATTATTATTGCCATTAGTACTGATATTGTTGCAGTTTTTGATGGATTATGAACGATCATTAATAGCTACATTGAAGGCAAGATTAATGGTGCAAGCATCTCTCGCTTTTCGTGGCATGTTTGGTCCGAGGTAAGTGTGACAGCATTATGTGTTCCGTTTTTAAGATTCATAAACTTTTTTTATTTATTGTATTCCAGATTCGTTTAGGGTAATCTATTGTTTATGGTTCTTCTTATTATTGCTACTGCTATTGTTTTATCGTTTCACTATTGTTCAGTATCAAAAAGTCTGGCATGAATGCTGTTGTACTGCATGCAATTTTTCATCAAAGTGGTTCAACAGAATTCATTCGTGAAATGGTTCGATGCTTTGCGGATGGAAATCTTATCGAACGGTCAACATTTGCCGAGGTTTAACTAACTTTTTAACTTTCAGGTCGCTTTATTTGCTCACTTCCATTTGAGAATTCGTAGCAACACTTATGAACGATTTGATTCATGAAATCTGATCCATAAATTCATATTTTAGCCCACTTTTGCCCCTTCAAAATTTTTTGTGATCATCATTGCCACATCGTTACCATTTATGACTGTTATCATTATTATTGTTCTTGTTGTTATTATGTCATTATATCATTACAAATAAAGATTCGTGCTAAACATTAGGTAAACTATTCAAGTCAATTTTAAGTCCTTTCATATTTCTTTTCTAAGGGTGTTTTAAGCGTTCATTTTCAGATATTTAATCCGATGTTTGATTTCGCAAATTTTGCCATATCACATCTAAGTATTTCTGATCAAAAACGTGCCGGCTCAGCGATATTGCCGTACAATTTAGTGCACTTTTTGATATCTATCAAAACCTCAAAAAACAAGAGACCACTAGCTGATTTGGTATTTATTTTAATATTGTTGAATTTTATTATTTATCATATTTTCGATTGAGAATTTTACGCATTTAGCAATTGATTTATTCGTATAATCACGTTTCCTTCATGAGCAGTAATATACAACAGTTTTTATTAGAAACAAAAAGTGAGTGAGAAATTGGAATGAAAAATGCAAGAAAGTGCAGTTCCTCAGTGAATTTTCTCAAGTAAAAATGGAATTGAAAATGCTCCTGTTTAAAGCTAGTGTCAAGAGATGATTTCCTACCGTATGTACGTGGTCAAGAGTCAGGTCGTGCGCTAGCAGCACTCTCTTATCTTGGCCCATTCTTTGAGTATAGCACAGCACCGAATGGGGATGGTGAGGTAGGCGCATTCTTATTTTTATCATTTTGCTTTTATGTTCACTTTATTACTCAATCTTATTATTTTGATCATTATTAATAATAATTGTTAATAGTACTCATTATTATTGTAGTATTTATTGTTATTATTATTATGATTATTATTATTAACCAGTTAACCAAACTAATGAAATCACTAATATATCAGTTAGTTTTGACATTCTTTGTTTATTTTCAATTGCTGTTTGTGAGAGAATTACCGTTTGTTTCTTTTTCTCTAATTTGTACTTTTCAATTGTCTTTTAGTTCTTCTCCATCATAGTCATTAAGCCAGACCCATTAATATGAACCTTAAAACTAATCCATACAGATAGACGTATTAATGCCATTTCCTGATTGTGACCAACTTCCGGAGGACGAACAGAAACCACTTGTCTATGGCCCTTATCAGAATCAAATTCATGGCATAAGAGTGAGCGTTTTTACTTCATTTTTTAAATTTGCTGTTGAATTATTAAAAAATATGAGAAAATGAGTATCTCGTTCATCAGTCACTATTGGAATTGAATATGTACATGATTCATTTAGCGTGCCTTGCATCAAATAGTGCACGAATTGTTGGTGAACTCTACAACACGCAATCGTATGCTTGACTATATTAGTCGCATGTTGGCATTGAATTCGAAACGTCGTCAATTGAACGTTCGTATCATTTAGTTTCATTTTCATAAGCGTCATAAAAATCATCTCATTTCATCCATAATAATCGATCGTTCTCTTATGAAAGTTCACAAAATTTTTTCATTCACCAGTTTACGTATTCTCTATTCAATGTTGATGAAATAATTAGTTTATGTTTCATGTTACTATTTGCTGTTATGTGAGCAAGTTCATAAGCTCATAATGCTGTGAGCATAAAACAATTTCTAATGACTTTTCTTTTAACGTTTAGCCCGATCGTCAAAATTTGGCATCCGACGGTTTCATGTTAAATTTCATGGATGTTATGCTGGAGTTGTCCGAAAAAGTCGTTCTAGGCAAGGTTGAATCGTTTCTCATTTATTGACCTAATTTTATTTTTTAATATCGCTGTTGTTGATTACATCTTACTATTCTGAGTAGAATTACTTTTCATATTATTTGAGGTTCATCCGCATTATTTGTTCCATCCGAAATGCAGACTGAACATCAGTGGTGAGACGAGGCTAAAGTTGAGTTCTGAAGGAGTCATGGAGATGGCGAAAACAATTGGTAAAATAATATACTGATTGATCGTCCTGATGATGATTGATCGGATTTCATTTCTATTTCCTATAATAACTACGTTCACCTAATCGTTCTGTTATAAATTCAGCCAATCCTTTTAGCTGTTTTTTATATCTTTTCTCACATTGAATCATTTCTTATTGTGGAACAAAAATAATGCATTGTGTGAAAATATCGATTATTTATTATCTAATTTGTGCTTTTCATTTCTCAGTTGAAAGATGTTATGTATACGTATCATTATCAAAGAGTTTTATAGATACGAGTTTTGATGTGAAATTTCCGACAGAATGCTTCTATTTAACAATGCACACGATAAATATTTCAATGCTGCCGGCTGTTAGTCATATGAAGATGGTTAGAAGGCACTTATATGATGTTGATATTGGAATCAATGAACTTGAAAGACAGTTGAAACTAATTTCTGTAGTGCAGTATAGAGAGAAGGCATTAATCCAACAAAAACTCAGAACAGCACATTCACTGAAAAAGGTACGTTCAGTCTGGTGATGTTTTTCACTTGCTTACTAAATAATAAATGTTGGTTGATTTCTGATTTAGATATGGCTTGAATTGTCGCATTTTCAGTACTATTTCTTATTGAAATGTAACAATTTGTGAATTAGCTGCAGAAGTGAAAGATTTTAATAATTAATATGTTATAAAATATTGATAATAATGAGTGTCATTTCAGAAGATAATTCGCACAATGATGTGCCTTGAATCAGGCGTGAGCGACCAAAGTCTTTTAACTAAAGCTTTGCATTTCTGCAGTCGTCAGCTTACGTTTATTATCAACACCATCAATCCAAACTTGTCAGTTTCTAATGCACTTTTGCTCTATTGTTGGAATGTTTTTTGATTTTCATTTTTCCGTTGCTCGATGTGCTGTAACTGTTCTTTTTTTATAGCTTGAAAGATGGAATTCTTCCGGAACAAGCACCTGAATTGTTTGGAGCGATGCCAGAATTTTATTTGGAGAATTGCCTTGATTTTATCGCGTTCTTGCTGAAGTAAGTTTGCGTTCACATTGTATTGTAAGCGCGAACTAGTTGGGTAATTTTGATCGATTTGTAGATATAATCCATCGCTTGTTCTGGCGAGTCGACTTGATCTACCTCAACAATTACTTGTCTTCATATGCAGCACTCATTATTTCAATAATCCTTTTTTGGCCTCCAAAGTTGGTTTGCTTCCATTTTTTTGTCATTAATTATACAGTTGCGTTTCATATTGAGTTTAGAGCCAATCAGTGTTCACTTTCACTTTTAATCACGGTTCTCTCGATTACTTTGCATCTATCGAAATTGTTTTCTTGTGTTTGATTTAACACAGACGAATTTCATTCGAGCATTTACCTATCATTTTCTTTCAAAAAAGGTTGTGGATGTAATGTTCATGGTATGTCCACCGATAATGCCAGCTGCACAGTCGTTTCATCAAAATATGATCAACTCTCGACTCGCTATGGAAAAACTTTTCCCAAGTTTGGTTAAGTTTTATTCTGGTAAGCAGTTATTCATATCCCATCATTTTTTCCGTTTTCATCATTTTGTTTTTTCTTTATTATTACATTTTTTCCTCCGAGCATTTGCAGTTTATATGTTCACTCGTTTGTTTATCTCAGTCTGTTTAAAAAGAACAAAATAAAAATTGTATAGAAACTGTTTGCATTTGTAGATGTTGAAACAACAGGCGCAAGTTCAGAATTCTATGATAAGTTCAATATTCGACGCTCAATTCAGGTCATTTTCCGTTCGCTGTGGGAAAATACCGTTTATAGAAGTCGTATGATCTCATTTGCGAGGTTGATGCGTTCATTTTTTTGTTATGCCTTTTCATGTGCAATTTCATTTTATGTTTGGATTTGCATTTCGCATGTTGCTTGTCTGTTTGTGTATCGATTTAGATTGATTTCTTAACGATATATTTCTACTGATACATCCATTAATCGTTTCGCAGTAAGTGTCCTAGGTGAATAAACTGAAAGAAGAAATCGAAAATTGTTTTACGAGCAATCGTTTGAAAATTATTCTGTTTTAAGGAAAATTAGCCAAGCTTAAAATTGTGGAAAATTTATATTAGAATATTGTTGCAAACAAAATTTGATATTACCACCAATATATCGAATTTTTTATGTTAATATGTACGAAAAACATTTTTAGGGCTTGTGGTAATGATTTCATTCGTTTTATAAATATGGTAATAAATGATGCGACATATTTATTGGATGAGTCATTATTGGCGTTGAAGAAGATACATGATATTGAGGCACAAATGGAAAGTGCTGAATGGGCAACATATAGTCGTGAGCAACGTCAGATAAAGGAAGAGGCTTTAAGTGAAGCGAAGCGTGGTGTTAAGTCGTGGCTTATTCTTGGACGTGATACACTTGATCTTTTCACATACCTCACTGCCGACGCGCCGCAGCCTTTCTTTGAACCGGTCATTGCTAATACTCTTCAGTAACGAAACACAATCTTTTCGATACTTCTTTTTAAAACTTTACTGCATTTTTGTTCAAAAAACTTAAATGGTTTCGTGAAAGGATAAAGTCGAATGTACGGTAATTAATGATGTGATGAATGTTTGATAAGAAATGAGTTAATTGCAGTTGTTGGGAGAACGTTTAGCGTCAATGCTTGATTACAATATCTCCGAATTATGTGGTCCCAAATGCACCGAACTGAAAGTTCATGACGCACTGCATCGTTTTATGTGGGAGCCACGTGCATTACTGCAACAAATTGTTCATGTTTATTTGAATTTGGCTTCCGAAAAATTTGCCGAGTATATCGCAAACGATGAGGTGAATAACCGTAGCAATTGAGTTCACATTTATCTTACTAAAAATTTTATTCTTTGTTTATTTATTTTCTTTTTGACTTGACATCTGCTCCCAGTTGTTCGAAAGTATTTATGTTTTATTTTCAGAATTTATTTTATAATGGACCTATTTTCTCCAATAATAAATGCTGTTTATGCAATCTTCCAGAGCTCATTTATTATAGAAGCGTTTTTTTTTCAGCGTTCGTATACACCTGCAATGTTCTCCATGTTATTGAATCGTCTCAAAATGAATTCAATTGTATCAGTTAATGAATTTGAACGTATGAAGAATTTAGCTGACATGGCCGAAAAAATTTGGAATGAAAAGGCAAAGAATGAGGAAGATTTTGGGGATGATATACCGGATGAATTCAGAGGTATATGAATTCAAATGAGAATAATATGTTCATTCACTTATAATCGTCATTTATTAGGTGGTCATATTTGTGTGTTAAAAGTTGAAGGCCTTTTATCATACTAAGTTTTTGTTTTCAATAATTGACCGAAATTTTTTTTGGTTTGTCTTGGCTTTCATCGATCGCAGCACTCAATCAGTCCGATTTGATTGCGACTAAGGTATATCATGATCTGATGATCATCTCGTAATTTTCTTGATATCAGTGTTCATAATCCGATAGGTGATCTTTGAATGGAACATAGAATAAGTGCAAAAAATGTTTTCATTTCTACAGCTCTTTTAAGTGACGTTAAAGTATGTTTGTGTGTTACTTATTTGCTTATTATTAGTACATGTATATTTTACTGTTTCTATTTTTGTTCTTGTCTGGTATTACTGAGTTTCTATCAAATTAATCTTTCAGTGGACATGCAAACTAACAGTATGCAATAAGTACTTTTCTATATTAGATTATTTCTGTAATTTCCCTTTTTTTACTTTTTTGATCCTAATTTTGTAGTGTTAGTTTTTTTCTAAAACTATTGTCATATTTTATTGCTGTGCACCTCAAATTATGCTTCTAAACCAAGTAAACTCATACGCAATTAAAGAAAAAATGACCAGAACGCACCGGAGCATCACCCCACAAAATGAAAAAATAACACTCAGTTAATAAGGATAAAATGAATGGACGTTTTTACCGGTATCGTTTCAGTCCAACGACGTTTATTCGTAAATCACTACATAACTAACGTTATTCACTAAACATCATTGATAATTATAACTGATATATTCGAATTTAAGATCCGGTCATGAACACTCTTATGGATGATCCGGTTGCACTGCCATCCGGCTTGAAAATGGATCGTAAACATATCAGACGTCATTTATTGAGCAGCCAAACGGATCCATTCACAAGACAACCTCTCACGGAAGATCAGCTCGTTCCCGGTCTGTTAGTTTTCTCATTTTTTAATTACTTCAGAATATTTCCTTGAAATTCATTCCTGAAACTTGAAGTTTAAGAAAATTTGGAATTCATTTGTCAGTTGTTCTGTTGTTGTGATAGTTGAATGAATTCTCGATGATTCAGATGAGGAATTGAAACAAAGGATAAAAACGTGGATGAAAGAAAGAACAGCAAAGGCAAAGTCAAAATAATTTGGAAAGTTGATGATTTGTCGAGATTAACTGAACGCATGATGAGTGCTGGTTAAGTCTGTTTTTCATTGATTATTTCTCATTGGCTTTTTAGTTCTGTAGTCATCCATTACCTAATGAATATGAACTGAGGGAATACGAACGAAGTATTGAGAAAATATTGAGGGAATTTTCCAGAAATCAAATATTTTCAAAATTCGTATTATCAAATATTAACTGCGGAAATCTTTTTTTTTTTGTTTTTGGTTCTTTCAGAATTCATCATGCGTTCTTGGCGTGTGTTCTGTATGAAGTTAAGTCGAGTTGAATTGTTTGTTCTTGATGAGGTGTATCGAACCCTTTTATTTGAATGTTTTCCTTTTCTTTTACTGCGCAGGGCTCATTTTTATCTTTCTTTGCTGTATATTTGGTCGTGGTCGGACAAAAGATCTAGGCTCAAGAAATCTACATTCTAAAGCTCTCATCTCATTGCTTGCTTGTTGATTGTCTTTAAGCAGCCATTTGTAACCAAAAAGAGGACTCACTTTACGGTGTACACCACGGATTTTTATTAATCACCATTAGTAAATATCTTACATCAATTCACCACAGCACTGTTCGTCAATTGATAAAGATCAAACAGTAATTGAACAGTGCGATTGAAGCTTTTGAGTGTTGATGTTTTGAGCCTAAGTCTTTTGTAATGCAACCATATTTAGTGAAGCACCTGACGTGTTGATGTACAAATTAAAATTCTCTTCAATCCCCAATATAGATATGCACGAATGAACTCTTCAGTCAAAATTTTATTTATGATACAATTTATTTGTGTTATTTCCCAAAGAAAAGTCATATTCAGTGGTTGGTTTTCTTATGCGGACGTCCAGCTCAATTATATTTGCGTCGTTCGTAAATGAATAATAGCGGAAAGGTGACGAACATTTGCTCATAACTGAGGGAACAGCGTTGAATAGTTTTCTTTGTCATCATTCTCCATTGATGAGGCGTGAACACCTCATAGTGTTGAGAAACAAATTCCAATTCCGACCACATAAAATGTTGCAATAAATTTCCTCTTCCTGCTATTAGTACTATTCGTTCATAGAATTCAAAAAGAATTAAAATACGAGAAGCGAACGAATCAAAATTCAGGTTGTTTCGATGAAAGATGAATAGCTGAAGCAATAGATTTTTGATGTTTTTGCTTTTTGAATTTGATTTGAAGGGAGTAAATAATTTTGAGTTTTTGTTTATGCGTAGTATTCGTATGCGCCTCTGCGGCAAACTGGTTATTTTATGATTTCTTTGTGTGAACAGTTCAAAAACGTTACAGAAATGTCGAAATGATTTGGTTGGATGTGTTAATATGAAAGATAAGAAAATATTGTTTTTAAATGAATAAAGGAATGGATTTTTCTCCAGGGATTAATTACAATAAATGAACAAAGCGTTCATTTTATGAAACGCGATCGTACATCGTTCAGTACGTCTATCTTTATTTGCTCATTAATTCTTCTGCGGTATAATCGGTTAGTTTATTTATCAATTATACAACATTCTTTCGTTATGGGTTTTGTTTACTAATTTCCTCTGTCGAATATTATATTCAGTGGAGAATATTATATCGATGTAGTCTTTATCTACAGTTACTTCATTTTTGAACATCTTGAGAGTGTTTTCTCCAAGAAAATTCCAGTGAAAAGACTGGATATTAACGGTACTTTATGTGTTTGTGTGTGGTCTAATAATTCGAATAGTTTTCCGATAAATTTCGATGGCCAATTTCCTAAAACACGATCCGTCTGTATTCAAATTTAGTTATACTTTTTGTACAATGTTTGATATTTGCTTTTATCTCGGTCATCACTATCTATGCTGATCATCAGCCACATGATTCACAGAAAGTATTCTTTGCACGTCTTTTTACTGTGTTCAACGTGATTGCATTTCATTTCCGAAAGCGCATTCTGTTATATATACACGATATGCGGCATGCTGTATACATTGTGCAATACATTTTATTTGTAAATGGAAATGTTTGTAGTGACTGATACATGCTAGAGGTGTGCTTGAAAAGAGGTTCGAAGAATCGATCAATATGCAGTTTTTTGAGAATCAATCAATATGCAGTTTATTAGTAGACGAGCAGTATCGTCAAGAGTTGTCTATGCTATGAAAGAGATGTATTGATGTGGGTATATATTTTTGAATTTGCTTTGCTGTTGAGAAAGATGCTGTTGATATATTTGGCGAATGCTTTTTTCATATGCTTGAGACTAACGAGGAATAGTTACAATGGTTTTTTATTGAATCTCGACGTAGATTCATCGTTATATATTTATAAAGAAAAGTTATCGCACGATATGAATTTAGTTCGAGAATTAAAATTTTAGATAGCATTTTCAGTCTTTATTATATTACCATTGTTGTTCCGATATGCTTATTGTTAAGTATCTGCGTGGTCATAACCGTTGCTCTGTCACATTTTCAGCTTCGCCTTCATTTTAACAGTGATCGTTTCGGTTTTGTGTTAAGTTGTATTGCTAGTTATCCGTTTCGCAATGCTTTTTCTATCAGACATTATTCTTTTTATCGTGAATTAATTTCTATTCATTGATTCCGTTACTGTTACTTGGTGAACTGATTGATACATCATACTTTGTTTAATGAAATTATTGGATTACACCTGAATTACACCCCTTCGTTCGAATTGTGTGTGAGTTGAGCTCGAAAGTAAGCTTCACCTTTTGCGTCAGTCCAGTTTCATCTTCCAGTCTGATTATTTATTTTAGTCTATTCAGTCATATTGTACGTAGTTCATCAATTTAGTCGTTTTACTTATTTGGTGCTTACCATACTTTAGCGTTGATCAGAATGGATAATTTGAAAATTTTCATGAGATTACCTTGCGGCCTGTCGTTGTTCCCTATGAGAACGCGGGACTACCGAGTTCCACGCTTCTCTGTTCTGTGCGAACCTTCTCCAACATTGACTAAATAGTTTGACGAACAGCTCATCTCGTTTTTAGTCTGCCCAGAGACCTTTTCATGTCTCTTGGTATCGACTGTGTGAGCCGCTGACAGGTCCAACGCTCGTCGTACATTCTTGCAATATGACCCGCCCAACGTCTTCTGCTGATGTACATTTCATGGAATTACTTCTTCAAATATTTCTTTATGTCCGTTCAAATGTCATGTTACTTTCGAAGTAAGCCGTTTGAATAATAGCGTTCATTTGAAGGTTTTTTGTGTGCAGTGAGAGTGGGCAATTTCATATTTCGAATACTGACTGGGAGGAGGCAACTAGTCAGTGCTATTATCTTGTTTTCATTGTTTTTAGAAGTTGTGACTCAGCGATGGAGGTATGCGGAACGACCGATAACATTTTTCGTGCAGCTGACATTCTCGAAAGCGATTGCAAAAAACAAATGTTACATTGCTTGCACCTATTGATTTGTTCGAACATTACGCAGTGATTCTAGTATGGATAGGATTTCATTTAAGATTGACGTAGAATTGGGATGAGTATTCGAATGAGGTGTATCAACGGCTAGGCATACCGTGCACATTTTATTTTTTTATTGAACAGGATGAGGATTTTCTTCATTTGAATAATTTCACTTCTTCGGTATATA